CCTCGAGTGTGAGAGTATGGGTCAATCAGGTATTGGCATTGATGTGCGGACCCCGACTATCGCTCTATTATATGAACAGACAGGAGATACTGAATATGAGCGACAGTCCAACATTGCGCGTTCACGAAGGAGAAATTGACGAAATGCTCATGTCTACGATAACGGTTCCTCCTCGGAACTTCAATCGGCGCCTCTTCCGCCTGCACCTCAACCTAATGCTCAGCCTCAGCGTAGTTCACCTAGAAGCAAACGAGCTCAATATGCTTCCTATGGACAGGAAGATGACCTTGATGGTGTGAACGAGCCTAGGACAGGGTACGCGGAAGAAGATGCGTAAGAATAACGACAAGGATGAGGCCCGTGACGCATTCGGCGCGGCTGACGGTGTAGTCGACTTGAGCGGGGGCCTGTACCTGGACGTCAATATGGGCCAGTCGACCTCGAGCAGATCAAGTTTGAGGAAGGGAAAGAAAGAGAAGACTTTGGGCGACTTCGTTCGGTTACTCCGAGATTTTATCTGCTCTTCACGCTGGTTCCTGGTCTGAATCGGGCTTATCGTTTCTTTTCCCCTCTTTTTCGCCGTTCTATCCCTTTTGATCGCCCATATTTACAAGTAAACACATCCAATGTCGTTTTGCAGAAAGCAACATGGCATGTTCCAGTTGAACAAATTACCATCGCCGAGCGCGGCGCCGCCGCTGGTCCAGACGATCCCTCTGCTACAACAACACAACCAAAGATGAAACAAACCCTAACGAACCTCGTCGGCTCTAAACCTTCCTCCAGGTCTACATCGCCAGCACCCTCCGATCCTTCATCATCACAGTCAGGCATCACGAAGGAAGTAGCGCTCAAGTTGATTCCCAAGAAGAAAGTAAAGGGGAACGAGGCTAGTGTTTGGGGTGAAATGGAGGTATTGAAAGGTTTAGACCATCCGAACATCGTACGTGTCATCCGTTTAATTTGTCTCGATCTTCGGAGCTCAGCATCATGAATGACAATCTAGGTCAAGTTTTATGAATGGTTTGAATCACGAACGAAATATTATCTTTCCTTCGAGCTTGCCGTAGGCGGAGAACTTTTCGACCGGATACTCAAGAAGGGTAAATTTACAGAGAAAGATGCTAGTGGCGTCATAAGGTAAGGGTTATCGTCCTGTTTGTTCTTATGAGCGACATTGGAACTCCTCCGTCCATCGAGTAGTGACAGTTTTTGCGGACTTTCATACGCATTATGCGTCATCTTTATCTTTTCCTTCATCAAACTCATGTCCATTCGAGCCATATGTGAATGCTCAATACCCACGTATCTCGTAGGTCAATTCTCTCAGGCGTCGCATACCTCCACGAACATGATATCGTGCACCGAGATCTCAAGTGCGTGCTTCTCTTCTAACCGTTACAAGCATCTGATTCCGTCATCTTTGTTCTTCTCAGACCCGAGAACATCCTCTACAGAACGTCAGCAGAGGATTCCAACATTGTTATTGCAGATTTCGGGATGTAAGTCTCCTTCCTCTCTCCTATTTCCAAACGAAACCATCAATCTTTCATTAGAGCCAAACATCTTGATACGCCGGAAGAGCAATTGCATTCGCTCGCCGGAAGCATTGGTTACGTCGCTCCTGAGGTGCTGCTTAACGAAGGGCACGGGAAGCAAGTCGATTTGTGGAGTATTGGGTAAGCTCCTCCAATCATTGCTATCATCCTCCCTGTGCTGAACCTACGTCTCCAGAATAATCACTTATGTCCTCCTTTGCGGCTACTCCCCTTTCCGATCGGACGAAGTCAAAGTCCTCATCCGCGAAACGACCGAAGCTCGAATCGAGTTCCACGACAAATATTGGAAAAATGTTTCCTCCGAAGCCAAAATTTTCATCAAACGCCTCCTTAACCCTGATCCTACCCGCAGACCAACTGCCGCTGAAGCACTCAAGGATACCTGGCTCACGACACACGATCCATCCGAGGAACACGATCTCTCTGACGGACTCAGAGACCACTTCGATCCCAGATCTAAATGGCGTAATGCGATTGCTGGTGCGAGAGCGATGCATAGGTTGGCGTCCTTTGGTCGTACACAGTCTCAGCTCTCGACCGCGTCAGATGCGACTGCGTCCTCTGGAGGATGGAATAGTGGTAGTACCGGGGGTGGTCCCTCCTAATACGGACGACGAGGATGAGGACGACGGATGGCATCCTGCGTCTGCGTCTGAGGTGAAACTTGGTAATGGCCGCGATAGCACGAGTGGCCCTGGTGATAATGTTAACGTCACGGTCACTAGAGGGGTGCTGCTAGAATGTCGTATGGGCGACGAATTAGGAATTGGAATGACGAAAGAGAGGGTGGTGATGTCTGAAGATGAAGATGAAGATGCGGTCTCAGAGATGTATATGGAGGATCGAGGGAGGAATGTACTTGACATGGTCTCTATCACAACTCACGAAAAGAGTGGTCAGTGGAGGAGGTCCACGTTACAGCTGCCGAAGACATTGGATCCCAGAAAGTGAGTTCTTCTTTCAGTGGCTCCGTAGCGTATATTGAAATCAGTCGCAGGAGAACATATTACCTTCTCGACCGGTTTCGCTCGACGATTCACGAGGGAGCCTTGGGGTCGCTTGAACCTACGCTTTGTGATTTCTCCCTGAGGCGGAGGAGGAGGAGACTATGCTGTTGAGAGTTCAGGCGCAATCTGGGTCTGGAATTTCACAATTCGAGATGGGCAACGCTTGGTTTCTCCTGATTCTGTATTGATCTGTTTTTATTCTCACTGCATATACTGGTTATGTTATAAATCATTGCCTCAAGTTTCTTCATCTTCATCATCCCTGCTCATGAAATATGTGCTTGGGTTAAGCTCAAGTATGTATAAGAGGCCCGAGAGTCATTATCTAATCCCATCGACAGCGACATAATACCCATCACAGCATGATTAGCCTTCTTCAGGCTCTTGTCCACATCCAAATTGCTCAGTAACGTCTAGCGCACTCTATCCGAAGCCCCAGCATACCCATTGGTTTCCATCCGGCTTTCCTAAACCCCGACCCCGACCTACAACAACTTATTCACCCAAATACCAACAATCCTCAACGACCGCCCCCCAGCTCGTTACTTCAGCTCCCCGCGCACTTCATCCGGGCTTTCTACCTCTTCCGTATTTCCCGTCGTGACGGTCTGATACAGCGTACTCCCCCCGATCTCGTGCGATCTTCGTGGATCTAGTTCGAAATACGCGCGATGGCAAGACGCTCGAGCCGAAAACTTCACGCTCTATACGTATCTAGACGACTCCGCGTTCCGTCGTTAGCGGATGGTCCCGGCTGTTTGTATGCGTTCGTCGATCACGGTGTCTACTGGAAAGTAGGCATGTCGATCGACTACGACCGGCGGAAGGCTGAGTGGGAGAGACAGTGTCCGTGTCCCAGCAGAGTCTGGCTCCCCCCTATGCGGGTTTTACGGCGAAGGAAATCCGGTGCGTCTTTTTGCTCTTACATTCTATCAATGCTCACTGTCTTTCAGAATCTTTGGCCCATCTTTTACTGGAACTGGCTTGCTTCGATAGGCCTCGAATACACTGTCCTAACTGTCCGTATGAAGCGCGTCTGAATCTATCCGTACGCTAATTTCATGCTGTCTCGCAAAGGTTCCAAGGCACATATCGAAAGATTTATCATCCCTGGTCATTGGTTTGTTGTGTGGAAAACTATAGTCCTACCGGTCCTTGCAATGATGGTAGCTGCATAATGGTGGGTCCTTTTCAGCTTTCTCTGATATGATATATGACTGACAAGCTAATAGATTCTGAGAGGTCAATATTTTACCTGTGTATTTCTTGCAAACACTGTAAATATATATCATAGTGTTATCTTGAAAAGCAAGCTTGCTCAAGTATACTGATGATTAGTGAATCAGCACATCAGATGAGTACCTACCTACCGTTTCTCAAGATTCTACTGACACAAGTACTAGGAGATGGTATATTGATCATATACCTTTCGACGTCCCAACATCCGCGACACTTTTCCATCTGGATATCTTGGATATCGAGACGTCTTGATGTCCCAACGTCCCGATATCGACGACGTCTTGATGTCTCCACGTCCCGATATCGACGACGTCTTGATGTCTCCACGTCCCGATATCGACGACGTCTCGATGTCCCGACGTCCCGACATCGCGTACCCCTATTCTCGGTGAGATTATTTTGAAGAATCTCATGCTCTCCACGCGGCGAATATTCCGCAAAATTTTTAAACTATCCCGGTAAGATTATGCTGCAATTATTCAAAATAATCCCAGCATATTCACACACTAATTTAGGGTAGATTAGATTGAAAAATCCTTGCATATTCAGCACGCGAAAACATTGAAAAATCACGATGGGTTTAATTAGACTAATCCTAGGTAGTTTTGTGGAAGAATTTTCTGAATAATCTCAATATATTCTCTACATAATGTTCGTCCGATTACAGTGTGATTAAATAAAATATTCAGCTTACACTTAGGCGTAGAATTTTGTACCTAATCTCGCCTTATTCGCGGCCTATTCGCGGCAAGAAAAGGCCTTCATCCCCGCAGTGCCTATGGCCAGGATTGCTTCGCTTCGCTCGCAACAATCATTGGGGGTTATATCGCCTAAATACTACTTTACGGAGGAGAAAATCGCATACGATCTTTTCAACCGCCGTACCAGCAGAAAGCAACTGTTCCCCAAATATGGAGGATCAATATTTCTTGACAAAATTTTCTCGTTCTTGTGGACGTCTCGAATCCTGTCGTTGCAGATATTGGTAATGGAGCGGCGTCAACGAAAGTCATGCGGAGGAAAGGAGGGGAACAATCGAGACCAAAAAGCAGATTATCTACTGTCATTAGGTCATGGAAAGGAAAAAATCGACTCAGCCTGACCCGTCGACAATTCACCTTACTACTGACCTAAACCTCTTTAGATTTGACCATCATTACCATGGCCAGCCGAAATTTCTTCCTCGTTACTCCTTCGACGCGCGGTCTCTCTCTCGCTTTGACGCGACATCTTCTTCGTACTACCGATTTGCCAGTATTCGCGACCTATCGGCGCGGGAATAAAGACGAGGTCAAGGAACATATTTTTCAACCTCTCAAAAACGCTGGAGGCGTGGATCCTGCAAGACTAAATGTCCTCCATCTGGACTTGTTGGATGAGAGGAGTATCGAAAAGGCGGCGAAGGAATTGGAAGAGAATTTGGGGTCTTGGATGAAGGAAACGGACAAGACCATACCTAGCATTGAGAAAGCATTCCTGACAGGTGGTGTCCTTCATCCTGAGAAGAGTTCTGCAGATTTGAAGCTCGGCGAGATAATGGAAACCTTCCAAACCAACGTCATTTCCCACCTTCTACTCATCAAGCATTTTTCGAAATTCCTTCCGAAGAGGCAACCTCAAACCATAGCAAAAGGCGAACTAGCGAAATGGGTCCACATTTCAGCCCGAGTCGGATCCATTTCTGATAACGCCCGCGGAGGGTGGTACTCTTACCGTGCATCGAAGGCAGCGTTGAACCAGGTCATCAAGACTTTTGATCTCCAGCTTCAGATGAAGAAAACGACGGCGATGTGCGTTGGTATTCATCCCGGTACGCTCCGCACGGACTTGAGCAAGGATTTCTGGAGCAGTTCTAGTGTGAATCGTCTGTTTGATCCCGAGGAGGCGGCGAAGAATATCATCGATGTGGTGCAAAGGCTGGACGAAACGAAGAGAGGGAAGATTTGGGATTGGAAAGGGGAGGAGGTTCTACCATAAAAGAACGTGTTCATAGAACAGAAATTTAGACAGAAAACAAGTAACGAGCTCAATGTCCTTTCCGAATGATCATGGCACATAAATTTCTGTTATGTTACAACGCGAGTAATATACGAAGGAGAGTCCCAAATCAAGGAAAGCATTAGAAAAGATGAAGCAGATGTATGTGCGATATATACGGTTCAAAACGAAATTCAAAGAGAGTGAGCCGATCAAAGAACGAGAAAACTTGATACACCAATGATACAGTTGCAACCCAATAGGAGGGAATGGAAGGTAAGAGGGTCCATCGCATATACACGCAATCCCTTTCTAGCATGAATGAATAGTCGGAACGCAAGATTAAATCTTGCGTTCTAACTCCTTTATGATAAGGTTATTGACGACTCTAGCATTATCTAGGTATACTGCATGACGATACTGTGCTTAGTGTCATTTTCAGTACACGAGTAGAAGAATGCTTACCGTGATGGCCAGCATTATTGACAATATACATTTTGCCCTGCCCGTGCCCTGCCTGTCGTAGGCGTTCAACAGACTCTGCACCACCTTCTGGATCCATCCAGTCCTGGTCGCCATAGGCGAACGTCACCGGAATATCCTTGTGCAGGGCCGCTATCCGATCTACCAACGGCATCCGAGCATGTGCGCCAGGAGCGAGAATGTGAGAGATACAATACTCTCCAGAACCTTTGGCGAGAGTAATGTTAAGGATATAGTCGTGCATGTCCCGAGTTTCTTCTTCAGAGAGTGTGGAGAAACGACGGGAAGAGTACTAGCAACGTCAGACATAAGGTTCGTGAGTTGATGTGTGAAAGAAGAGAGGAAGAATGCAAACCTTGCCGACCATCCATGGAGCCCAAACACCCATTGTCCTCACCACCTGGAAGGGACTAAATCCTTCTTCCCAAAGGTGTGTTAAGATTCTTCTTGACCGACTTTCCTTAGCCTTGGCTGTACGTTGATTTGCCTCAACCTGCTCAACCTTGGCATTCGATGCGAGCTCAGCCCTATCCTCACTTGAAGTAGTCGTGGGCGGATCCACTTCACTGGAAGGGACAGTGTGGTCTGGACCCCTGGGCACACCAGCAGGCGACAGAAGTATCAAACGCTCAACCCTCTGTGGATACTTCAACGCGTAGACTACGCTAAAGTAGGCACCCAACGAGTGTCCTATCAGTGTCATCTTCTCTAGATGCATCTGTTGACGCCAATCTTCTAACGAATCAACGAAAAACGACTCCGCCTCTGCTACTCGAGCAGGAATATCTTTCTTGGATGCTTTGATATGGAATGGAGGTCGTGAGGAACGACCCATCCCTAACCAATCCAGAGCATAGACGGATGAATTATGCCTGGCGGCCCATTGTGCCATCGGGAGGAAATTGTTGAAGTAGAAGCCGAGCCCAGCTCCATACCCATGGAGCATGACTGCTGGAGGTGGAGATGTTGCAGGGGGATTGGACGGAGAAACGGATTGGGACTGGAACAAGGAGGTGGAGATCATCGACAAGGTGTTGATATAATGTTTCGGGTTGGAGAGTTCTACACGAGAACTGTATGCGATGACAGGACCAACATTAGAAAGTTCGGTTTCAGATAATGGGCTAGCCGGCTTTTGAGACCGGAAGAAGGGTAAACGTCTGGTCGAATATCAGTGAGGACATACTATAAAGGTCAAAATTACGAACCTCAACAGGCGTTCCTCACTTATAGCACTTTGCTTGTCTCCTGCGGCCCACCTGATAATAACAAGTCAGCATAAAGGATCGGAGTGGAAGCGTGTATTACCGACCATTGCTTCGCACTTTCCAGAAACTTCGAAGGTATATCAGCCGCGGGGGGTAAAGGAGGTAGGATGTCGACTAGTGATTCTGGAGGCGTAGTACCAGTCATTAGGAGAATCTTGCGTAGAGGGAAAGATAAACGAAGCCGGGAAGCTATGGCTGTTAATGGAGAAGGATGACTGTAGCATTTAGCTGTCGATTGTTACTTGTATAAGTATTCCGGCACGGAAGTGGCACGGGTTTGATGCAATGCCGCGGTGACGCAGGAAAGCACGTGTGCGGCAGTATCCGGTAAGCACTCTTTCGTCAACGCTCTCAATTCCACAATGTACAACGGTATCGGTCTTACGACTCCTCGGGGGAGGTACGTTTGCCTTTGTTCTACTCAGGCTTGTTCTTACTGACGGAGTATGCTTTAGTGGAACAAATGGCTATGTTATTCGAAACCTTTCGACTTTACGCTCATACGAACCAGCCCAAGATCGTGCGTCAGCCTGGGATGTTGCACCGCCAAAGCACCGTGAGCCCGATCAAGGCATTCTCGAACATGAACGCAAACGTCAGGTTGAAGTAAAATGCCTTGAGTTGCAGCTTGAGCTCGAGGAAAAAGAGTACGTATTTAATGAACAAGTTGAATTTTTGCGTTTGTGTGATATTTTCTCTGATTCTTTTGTAGCATTGATGAAGAAGAGATTGAAAAGCAAGTTGACGAACTTCGCACAAAACTAAATGCCAACTTGAAGGATGCAATGCCTTCTACGAAGAGGTTCAAACCCTCAGATACCCATGCCATCGCTGCAGCAAAAAAGTCTGAGCTCGATAAGATGGCTCGTGCATTAGGCACAAGAAGAGACTACACTGAGGGCCAGGCATTCGACCGAGAAAGACAGGAGCAGGATAAGATCAAAAGACAAGTTGAAAGGAAAGAGCGGGAAAGGAGGAAAGAGGAAGACAGAGCTAAGATGGCAGAGCAGAAAGCAAAATGGGATGCTGAGAGGCGAGAGAAGGACAGGCTTAGACGGAGAGAAGAAGATAGGCTAAGAAGGGAAAGAGAAGAAGGTGGTGGTGGCGATTCGAGGAGGAAACAGGACAACGGTAGTAATATGCCTCCTCCTCCTCCGCCTGCCAGAGATAGGTCTCGAGAACGGTACCGTGGACGAGACAGAAGCCCCCCTCGTCGTCCTCGTCAGGACTCCCGCTCTCGTTCCCCGAGACGCCGTTCTCCATCACCTTTGACTCGCTCATCCCGCCGTCGTTCTCCTTCAGCGTCGCGCTCTCCCTCTCGATCGCGTTCGCCTCCTCGTGTACGAAGACGCTCTGTTTCTACTCCAAGACGTCGTTCTGGTTCTCCTCCAAGTCCTCCTCACGGTAACCGCCGTGATCAGCGCAGCGTTACTGCTCCTTCTCGCAGGCGCCGATCTCCGTCTGATTCGGTCTCCCCTCCTCGAGTTAGAGTGGAAGTAAAAGGTCGTGGAAGATCACCTTCACCCCGTGACAGTCGTCGCGGTCGGTCTCGTTCTCGTTCTGTATCTAGTGATTCTGCTATGTCTGTGAGCACCAGATCGAGTTCACGAAGCCGCGCTTGATTGCGTTAAAATAGGCGAAATATTCTACCACATACCTTGGTCTTTTTTTGTACAATACTTTGCATTCTACAGCAGTCTTACAGCCGGTGTACTTTTTCGCCATTGGCTGTAAATCGTATATGCTTTGAGCGCCTTTTGCCAGTGACTCGACAAGGACATGAAAAATGAAAACTGCGTTGTTCATATTCACAGTACAGGCTTCATCCTTCTCCCTTTCCACAGCACAAGGGCTGTGAGTCATTTGTCAAGTATAAAAGGAGTTTCGTGTACAATTGCACAATCTTTCAACTCTTGAACAAGGATGAAAAACTTCCCATCGTTATCTCGTCGAGCATGCTCATCCGGTCGTTTACAACGTGGAATAGCGTCAGAAGTCAATATTTCTCTTCTCCTTACAACCACCATGACTGAAATAAGACTCACAGGCTGTACCTCGACCAATTTCCTCGATACCCTCGGCCCCGTGCACAAAGTACAAAGCTGTCACTCATGATACTACTCAAAAATCCGAAAGGACACAAGCAACTCTATCCAGAGCGAAAGAGTACATCTTGCCTGTGTATGCCAGGCCTGACTTCGTTCTCTCTCATGGGAAGGGATCGTATGTTTGGGACACTGAGGGAAGAAAGTACCTGGATTTCAGTGCCGGTATTGCGGTTAATGCGCTGGGACATTCTGACGAGGGGGTTACTAAGGTCAGTCCTTCGCACAAGTAATACGTTGGACGCGATTGGTCTATCTGGTCTATCCTCTATCTATCTATATTCACGTTCTCATTGCGATCCCACAGGTCCTTGCCCAACAATCCCAACAACTACTACACACGAGTAACGTTTATCACAACGAATGGGCAGCCAAGCTTGCTGAATTATTAGTGACATTAACTCAAAAAGAAGGGGGATTGGGTTATCCTGCTGAGAAATCACCAACGGATGGGGCTACTCCCGGTGCAAAAGTGTTTTTCTCCAATTCCGGAACCGAAGCCAACGAGGGTGCACTGAAGATTGCAAGGAAAGTGGGTAAAGATCGGTGGGCAGCTAACGCTGCAGGACGTTCATGGGATTCAAAAGACTGTACTAAAACGCGTATCGCGTGTTTCGAGTCTTCATTCCATGGTAGAAGTATGGGTGCCTTGAGTGTGACCAGCTCGGCCAAGTACCAACTTCCGTTCGCACCCCTGCTTCCTGGAATTGATGTTGGAAAGGTGAATGACTTCGATGGTTTATCGTCGCTTATTGGTGAGGACACCTGTGCTGTAATCGTCGAGCCAATACAAGGAGAAGGTGGGATCAACTCAGCACAAACGGAATGGCTAGCGGCGTTGAGGCAGCGCTGTGACCAGGTAGGCGCTGTATTGATCTTCGATGAAATACAGGTGTGTATGTCACAGTCTATCCGTCCACGTCCGATGTTTCCACATGACTTTTACTCACTATCATGCGCAGTGCGGATTATATCGGACTGGGACTCTATGGGCTCACTCGCCGCTTCCTGTTGAATGCCATCCTGATATCGTGACCATGGCTAAGCCATTGGCAAATGGATATCCCATTGGCAGTGTTCTGCTGCGGGATTCAGTAGCTTCTACTATGACTGCCGGTTAGTGTATAAGGTCTCCTACATCTGACCACATCTTTGATCCTCCCGAATAGGAACACATGGAACAACTTTTGGTGGATCACCAATTGCTTGTGCTGTGGGCTACCATGTCCTCTCTCGTCTGTCAGACCGTCCTTTTGTAGCTCAGATCGCCGAGACCAGCGCATACCTTTCCGGACGGCTGTCCCAACTACCGACCTGGTTCCCAGACATATTGCAGCCCACGATCCGAGGTAGGGGGTTAATTCTGGGATTGGCGTTCAAGGATGAGAAGGACCCGGGTCGCCTTGTGAGTTTGGCCCGGGAGCGAGGAGTGTTTGTGCTCACAGCGGGTAGAGATGCCGTTAGATTGGTGCCCAGTTTGAATGTGGGCAAAACAGAGGTGGATTTGGCAGTTGATGTGATTGAAAGCTGTCTTGGAGAAATGCAATGAGCCTGTTCAGATTCCTACCTGTTCCTACCAGTACGAAGAGAACGACGGGGTCGGAATTGAACGAGTCAGCGGCGAACGCAGTAATCAATCATGCTTTTGCTATGTACACAGGCCCAGGCTGAGGCTCTTGAGTTTTGATCAGGTTCCAATGTTCTAATGCATCGACATGATTTCCGCGATTCAATACGTGCCTTCCAGAAGCACTTGCCATAAACTTCAATAAGTTTCCTATAAGAGGCTATCGGAGGCCGCCGGAATTCATTAACCGAGTAGTATGACATACACACGGCGTTTGATTGGCTGATACAATTGTCAAGTAGGTCACGATATAAATTCCCTCGACGACTGAAATTGACAACTCATATTTTTTCCTCTTGTCCTGGGTAAACTATATTCCTCACGATGGACAAACTCTCTACGCTTTCGCGCTTCAAAGCATCATGCCCATTCTTGGGCAGGACAAAGACCTCGACATTGCGCAACTTGTGTACTTCGACCTCTACTCGCTTCCCGTCGATCTCCCTGCTTACCGAGCGCGCTACGAACTGCCCGGTCATGGGTCCAGCGCTGAGTGTCCGTTCCAAGGAAATTGTGGCTGGCTATGCAAGCATGGCTGGTAACTCGGACATTGAACAGATTCACAAGGAGAAGGGAGTGAATATTCCTGCTGATGCTAGTGTCGAGATGTGTCCTCATGCGTCTGCTGCCCGGGCTGCAGCTCGTATGGCAGACGATCTGGCTCATGCTGCCAAAGGAAAGGAAATATCTAGCAAGGCTGCTGCTGCTGCTGGATGTCCTTTCCATAAGGCTGCTCTCGAACAGACTGCAAAGGCCGCGGGGGTTGCCCCGCACCCGGTTCCCGTTTCTACCGCATCTACCTCGGTTAGTTCCTCTACTCGCACCGGTGCCTACGACTATGAGGCGTTCTACAACACTGAACTAGAGAAGAAACACAAGGATAAATCTTATCGGTACTTCAACAACATTAACCGTCTCGCGCACAAGTTCCCTGTTGCGCATACTGCCAAGGTCGAAGATGAAGTTCAAGTATGGTGCTCGAATGATTATCTTGGAATGGGTAACAACCCAGTTGTCCTGGAGACCATGCAGTTAGTTGTATAATTTGTCCCCTCGTTCTACCTAGCTCAATTCCTTGTAGTCGGACTTTAGACAGGTACGGTCATGGTGCGGGAGGAACCCGTAACATCGCAGGTAACGGTGCCGTCCATCTTGGCCTCGAACGTGAATTGGCTACTCTCCACCGTAAAGACGCTGCTCTAATCTTTTCGTCCTGCTACGTCGCCAACGATGCTACTCTCTCTACCCTCGGAACCAAATTACCCGGATGTGTGATGTTCTCTGACAAGAGCAATCACGCATCCATGATTCAAGGGATGCGTCACTCTACAGCGAAACGGGTCATTTTCAAGCATAACGACCTGGAGGATTTGGAAAATAAGCTCAAGGAGTACCCCAAGGAGACTCCGAAGATTATTGCGTTTGAGAGTGTGTATTCCATGTGCGGTAGTATCAGTCCCATCTCGGAAATATGTGATTTGGCAGAGAAGTATGGCGCATTGACTTTCCTTGACGAGGTATGTTTTTGTTTTATCATTATTCACAAATGAATTTTCCCCTGATATGATTCTTGCCTTAGGTGCATGCTGTCGGTTTATACGGACCCCGTGGCGCTGGTGTCGCGGAACACCTTGACTATGAAGCTCAACTGGCACATGGCGAAAACCCTGACCCCATTCCTGGTTCAGTCATGGATCGTATCGATATCATCACTGGTCAGTAGATGTCTCATAACTTCCATCTGCATGATGCCAACATTTTTTTGGATGTTCACAGGTACTCTCGGTAAGGCATATGGCGCTGTCGGCGGCTACATTGCTGGTTCAGACGATTTCATCGACATGATTCGGTCATACGCTCCTGGTTTCATCTTCACAACGTCTTTGCCTCCTGCTACGGTCGCCGGTGCTCAAGCTAGTATCGCATACCAAAAGATATACCTCGGTGATCGTCAGCTCAAACAGGTCAATGTCCGGGAAACCAAACGCCGATTCGCAGAGTTGGATATTCCTGTTGTGTGAGTATCCTTGATTGGTTTTTGCGGATTTTTGAAGTTGTGTACTGATCTTAATCTATGCCCGCAAAATTTGTAGACCCGGTCCATCACACATCCTTCCTGTCCTCGTCGGCGACGCAGCTCTTGCCAAAGCCGCATCTGACAAGCTTCTCTATGACCACTCCATCTACGTTCAGGCCATTAACTATCCCACCGTCGCTGTCGGCGAAGAACGTCTCCGAATAACCGTCACGCAACGCCACACCGTCGAACAAATCGACAAACTGGTCGCAGCTGTCGACCAGGTCTTCACGGATCTAAACATCAACAGGATCAAAGACTGGAAAGCTCTCGGTGGACGTGCGACTGTTGGTGTTCCAGGTGAAGATGATGTCGTAGAACCAATTTGGACCAAGGAGCAGCTTGGGGAAGAGACAGGGACGACACCGAAAACGTTGAGGGATGGGGAGAAGGACGTGGTTGACCCACAGGGGGTGTTTGTCGCAAGGAGTAGGTTTGATCATTTGTTAGGACCAATTTCTGGGCCGTTGCGGTCTGGGTATCAGGTTGCTGCGCCTGCCGTCACCCCCAACACTACTACATCGTCTGCGGCTTCGCTCGTGCCCAAGACTATGAAGACGGGGACGAAATTGATGGACTTTGCTCCCAGGGCTAGGGATATCCCGGTCCCTCCGCCGTCCAAACTGAGTGCGGTTGCGTAAATAGGCTCCCTCAGTCTAATACCCCCTGTTCGTTGTTAACCTTTGTCTTGTTATATGTGCTCGTCGTCGCAATAGTACACATAGTAGTCGGTTGTCGTACTTCACTCGTTTATTTCACTTGAGTTTGTATGTGGAATTCATTGTCGTTGTTGCTATATTTGAGTGAGTGTCGGAAGTAAAACTTTCTGTGTCATAGCTCTTACATAGCTGGTCTCTACGAGCATTAATGGGGTAGTGGTAACCTGGGTCGTTGCCATATTAGTTTGGCTGCGTCCTTCGACCCGCCGGGGGTTCGATTCCCCCTTAATGCATTGGAAATTCGTTGGAGTATCACTTGAGGAGGGAGAGAGAGAGAGAGAGAGAAATGAATTTTTTGCTTTTGGTACATACTGTATACTGTGCATTTGGTGTAGCTTCCAACCAAATATCCAAGTTTTTTGCTTCGCAGCAATGGAGCAAATAATTGTTCATTCTACTATCAGTGTACCTTACATACACATGCACATAACTCAAGGTTTCTCCACCTCTCCTCTAAACCCTCCATCTTTTCCTCCCCCCACCTCCACCACCTACCCCCAACCCAATTGTGCTCTCCCAATTGACAATATGCCCCAACAGCTCCGCATTCTGTTTCGCCGTCGCTGCCACACCTCCACTGCCACTGCCACTCCCTCCAGGCCCATTCACACCATTCGGAGAAGAATCAATATCCATATCATCCTCCTCGCTATACTCTGTTGCTAAAAGGAGGTTCTTGAGCGATTCTTGAACGAGTGCGGCAGTGCGGAGCTTTTTTTCCATTTGGAGCTGGTTTTGGGATTTTGGGGTAGCGTTTGAATTTGACGTGGATGAGGTTGAGTTTTGGGAAAGGGCACGACGGGGTGCGGCCTATGGCGATAGTTGGGTTGAGTGAATCCTTAACCAATACTCGTAACGCGTAACCGACTCACTGGTGTCTGCAAATATGTATGTTTGGGCGGCAAACCAGGTAAATTTCCCGGGAGATTACGCAATGTGGATGTTGGTATCGTGCGCAATTTCGTCGTGGTCGTTGCCGCTGGATTAGAAGCCTGGATTTGATTATGTGAGGTCAACGATGGAGGAGCGAGTGAAAGGTGAGTTGGATGTGCGGTTGGTGGGATGTGGTTTATTTGGTGATTGGGGTAGTGGGATTTTTGTTGTTGGACCGGTGCAGTGGGTGTGGGGTCTGGGTCTTCTATGTCGATCTCGTCGTCGGAATGGAGTAATTCTGGAGTAGGTGAACGAGGAGGATAAGGGACGACGTTGAGGGATGGTGGCGGTTTTGCTTTTGCTTTTCCCTTTGTGTCCCTTCCTTTCATCTGTTTCCTCTTCCTCTTCCTAATCCATTTCGCCAATGTTTTCGGGCCGACATCATACGCCCAATCTTTCTCGAAATCTTCCGCCGCAAGAAGTAAATCAGTAGCGATTGGTCCTGATCTATTTGCGAGGTTAGAGTACGAGTGCGCGAGAGTGTATAAAGATTGAACGACTTGGGTGAGGAAAAAGGCTAAATCAGTCAAAGAAAATAGATTGTATATTGCACCTTACATCCAACAACCTCTTGTTCAATGATATACAATGCTTCCGGCATCGCACCATCGAACCCAGCATTCCGCAATTCACCTGCAGCTAATCTTTGTATAGACTGACTTGCTTCTCGTGAAGTGACTGCAGGAGCGACAGGCGACGAAGGGCGGATTGTTCCTGTAGGTGATTTATGTGTTCCTACTCCCATTGCAGTTGTTACACCAGGAATCCCACTAACCCCGGGAATTCCCGATCCATACGACGAAGCATTATAGGTCGTCGAAGGAAAAGAATAAGAACCACCAGCTGTATTATTATTAATAACATTATTTGGGTATGAGCCACCATGTTCGTACCAGAAGTGGGTGTCCCAGCACGCAAACTAGCGTATTGAGCAAGATACTGAGCAGCAGATGGCGAGGGTGTATAATGCGTCGATGACAACGTCGTAGATGCTAGAGCTGGAGTTGGAACTGGAACTGGAGCGACAGCTCCGGTGAGGCCTGGGGTAGCGGCTGTTGGTGAGGCTGAAGGTGTAGTGTAATGCGCTTGGGGATAATAATTCGGTATGGTCGGAATTGACATCGCTCGCAGGTTCACAGGGATAAAACGTGAGCACAGCGCATGAGCCGGTTAAGTGAAGAGAGATCGAAATTAGCGCGCGCTAATTGTGTCACCCTCACCACTACTTCAAGCACCCTTTAAATTCAGCAGTGAACGTTTGAACCCTCCCAACCCAACGCCAATACCAAGGGTCTGTCGGATGTCTTGGAAGTATCGAGAAAACACTCAAGGACTTATTCTTCCAACGAAAAGCGGAGACAGAGCTCAAGAAAATACGCAAAAAAGCTCAAAGAAATGTTGAACCACCCGTACTAGCCTCTATATATGAGCGACTTTCCCGTGGTTCAACGATTTGTGTTTCACTCTCACTTAATCACACTCAAGGTTTGGCTGTCAGTATACTCACTACAGCCCTCGAATCCCAGTTTGTATATTGTGCAAGATACTTCCTACAGTGTAGAACTACGCTACTACCCTTGAAGCTTGCCATGGCAGATTTACTACTGGTGCCTTGCAAGGCTTAGTACTGCTTTTTCACAATTATTAACTCTCGATGAAAGAGCATATGCAAATGCACTTACCAAGGTCCAAGGTGCGTGCTTTCACCATACCAATTAAAGGATGATATAGGTATTGACTTTGACATATAGAATTGTATCTGGTTTACACAGTAGACACAGATATAGCGCAGTATTGTCTCAGGTATCCAAATTCGGAGCGGGACCTAGCATGAATTTGTTTGAGACCAGTCTAACAGACTCAGGTAGGTGGTGTGGTTTAATGTAGAATCTAGACGCAAGAACTCGTTTTGGCGCAACGTCGACCTCGATGGTCTGGGAGTCCAAAAAAGCTCGATATTCTGTCCACCATACCTATAAATGCTCCGGAGACAATTGAAAAAGAAATTAACAGATCATTGAGCGCCGACTTCACTTAGATAAGACAAACCGCATCGCTCTAGGCGCCTTTCAGAGCTTGCGTGTCGACTATCATCCGTCCAGTCCACCATCGCCATATTCCGTGAACCACCCACCCTTCCCTAATAATTAAGATATTTGCGTCTATCAGCGTCCAGGCTTCTCTTCAATAAGTTGAATAACTTGTTCATTCCGACCCTTGGTAAATCTTTGTTTCTCTCGTGAGGTGACTTGCCCTTTTACCCTGGATTGTTGTTTCTTTATCTGATTATTCAGTGTCCTCAATCACTGCTTCGAAGAATCACTTGTCGTGATAATCGCTATGTCATGCCCACAATGTGGATATTCATCTGATAGAGCACCTCTACCTATTCCTCTTCATTCCACCCGCGTCAATAACCTCCTGCACACCAATGACTCCCCAACCGAAGATGAACAGAAAACTCTGGAGACCTTCTTAGGCCATGGCAAATCGGAACTCCAATACCTTAAGGCCCGCATTGTCTCGGTGAAGGTTCTGCTCGAAGAGCTCGAGCGCGCTAAAGCTTTGCTTGCAAAAGCAGTCTCAGAGCACGAAACGGTTCTGAATCCTATGCGACGCATGCCGGATGATCTCCTGGTGGAGATATTTCTCCATGGTGCAGGGCTTTATATAGATCCCGGAGACTATTTTCCTTCGGCACGACATTCTCTGGATCTCAACTCCCCTCCATGGACATATAGCCGGGTGTGTCGTCGCTGGAGGGGGACAGCCATGCGTACACCTCTCCTTTGGACACGAGTCAAAATCGAAGCGGATTACCTTGTCAGTTTACGTCATTCACAAATAACCCAACAGAATGTATGGAATAGTCATCCGAGTCAGAGTCCGCTTCCTTTTGGTCTCTCCCTTCTATCAGGGTATCTAAGTCGTTCAGCCGCATTACCTCTTGCTATCTACCTTGACATGCCCTCATATCGCTCGGATAATTATGCTTACAGCATTTCTGCCCTCGTTGCCTCTCATTCCCAACGCTGGGAATCATTATTTCTGGGCAGAGTTCAATCTTTTGATTCCAACAATATGGTCTTATCAGAAGACTCCTTTCCCTTGTTGAGAAGGTTGCAAGTTAAGCTTCTGGAGGTGCTCCCATTAGTTGATATACCTGCTCCAAGGCTAAAATCATACTCGATTGTTGGCAGCGGCGGCTTAGGATCTAGTATCACCGAGGCTAAACTCTCGACAAAACTCTGCAGTCAAATTACAGATTGCTTGATTTCCAATATTTCATACAAGGTTGCATTGAGAGTGTGCGAACACCTCCCCAATTTATGCAGGTTAGTTTTAGTACAAGACTTGCCACTCGCCTTTGATCCCAACTCAGAGGATCAGATAAAAGTACTTCCTCGTCTCAAAGAGCTCTTCGTAGAACAGTCAAATCATCCAGTCTTCTCATATGTCACGGCAGTCTGCAAATCAATAACTTGCCCAGCTCTTACATCCCTATCTATCCGAGTTTTTCACACTGACCCCTTGCTGAAATCCACCATCAAAGAGTTTGAAAAGCGCTCCGCTTTCAATCTTGAATGTTTAGTTATCAATGCATGGACCTATATTTACGAGGACATCCAGAGCACTATGACCCTCAAATCACTTGCAGTCAGTGAACTTAGCTATCACAGAGCCAACAATATCTTCTGCAAACTGAAGCCTTTGGAATCAGCAACTATCACCCCATTTCCCGTCCTTCATCAACTGAAACTCCATCTGTGGCGTATGCCTATACCCGGGGGCAGCTATGATTTAATGGAGAACTTGTATCACTGTGTTCTTTCTCGTCTCTCTACTGCCAACTCTTCCAATCATAACAATCTGTCACCTCACGAAGTGTTTATCACCGCGCCGGAAAAAGAGGCTAGGAAGATGCTTGACCATCCCCAATTAGGGACACTTCGTTCACTAGGAATGAAAATCGATATCATCGCTTCGTGAACTTAGTATGACTATTACCACTTCTATGCCATCCTCCTCATCCTCCTCCTGTATTCCGGTATTTGATTCGATGTAAATGGTTCTAGTCAGATTGCGGGGACATCTTTGTTGTTGGTACCTACCTGATAAACAACATTACTATTTTTTGCCCACAGATGTTTCCGAGTTGTTCTTTGGTTCGGGATGAATTCAAATCGTTTGACATACCCAACTTGAAGTCATTTTTCCTCCTTCCGTTCCGCGGAGAGAGAGAGAGAGATGTTGTGCTACTAAGAACTACAAATACTGTACATACACAACATAATTCACCAAACAGCGACGAGTCCTAAAGCCTTACCAACACATTGAATTTCACTCTGAATCACCAAACAACCTCGCCAATTCCTTGAAATCCGACACCACCACATCAACCCCATCTACATTTCCTCCTCCCGATTCCGATAGCTTTTTCCTATCCTCATCCGACAAACCCGCATCTTCCCCAGGCCGACGGACATAAACAGTTCTCATCCCCGCCTTCTTTGCAGCGCGCAAATCGAAAAGGTGTGCAGCAACCATCGCTGCTTTGGTTGTGCCTTCTTTATTCGGGACAATAGAGAGGTGATGTAGGGCTGAGGCATAAGCAAGGGGGTTTCTGTGTATAGGAGAAGGGAAAGGAGGAGGAGGAGGAAGCGGAGAAGTAAGTGGTAAGTACAACGTAGTTCAGAAAACAACGCAGGTACAAAATGAATCAAATTTGACGAAGAGTCCATTAATTGAAATCACAGCGAGTCACTCCGGCTGCTGGGTTGAGACCAGGTGAATTGAAATTGCACTCACGGTTTATACACTCCCCACAATGCACTCGAGAACACTGCATCCCATGGTAAACCCGCGTGCTTAGCCATGTCGACGAGGAGACGGACGTTTCCATTGGAAAGGGTGGCGATGATCAAATGCTTTTTGAGGGCGTGGAGGCCGGGTAAGGTGTCAGGCCATGCTGTAACCCGGGATTCGTCGGGGGGAGATGGATGAGGATGAACGTGGATCGTAGGCCGTAAGGGAAAATGGGAAACTACATTAGTGCTAGCACAGTATACATGTAGAGGATAAGTTCTCCCCACCATCCAAACGATGCCAAACCAAATTCAACTCAACCCTAGCTTTTTCTTCTTTTAAGGCTTCTCCAATGTGAGACCATCGGGGTGAGGATAGCATGGTGTCGAGAATCTGCGAAATTCTCAATATTTGTGGGGGGGTATGTACCGATGGTTGATCATTGATAGGTACTTACTTCTCGATGCATGATATCTACATCATTAGTTCCTTCCCCACCTTCTGCAATCCGGCGTCTGTAGGCGCATTAGCCGAACAGTTATTGGGCCGAATGGTATGTACTAAATTGATGAATCAACCCATACATACGTGTTCTCCATATACCCCTTCCTCCACTCATTCGCAAAGTCAAGCCAATCTTGAGGCGAGTCTGATTGAGTCAATTGTTCAGAGATAGTGAATAACTTCAAGACAAAGTCGGAGACAATAATAATCAAAAGCATATGTCGAACTAGGTGATGAAAACTAAACCAGTACGAACCATTCAAGAAATACCTCTTTCCAATATTCTCCAGCTCCTTTGTCACCGAACTGCGCCAATCTACGACGGTTCCAAAGACATCGAAGAGGAGCACTTCTACTCCATGTAGAGGATTTGGTGAAGGAGGTGCCGACATTAAGATGAGGTTTGATCAGTATGAAGGGGTATGGTGGAGTAAGGAAAAAGAGAGACACAGAGACTCTCAGAGAGCACTAAGAATAGGTATTTTGAAAAGGGAGGTTGGTGGGAAGCTGTGGGAAGACTTTACACGGTCGATCAGGAATAAAACTGGAATTCTTTGCCCAAGTTTTTTCAGAACCAGGTCAGAAGTTGCTATCTTTGGTCGGAGGAAGGCGGCCCGTGAAGTGTGAAAGAGGAGTCGGGAGTCCTAGGGAGTCTTCCCAAAAAAGACTCTGAGATTCCGACGAGTCTAGTCGTCGGAATTGAATAGAAAGCATTCCTAGGAAGTAAGGATGGAGAGCAAAAAATTGGACGAAGAGAAAAGTATATACGAAGAAAGTATATAATGTTCTTGTTGTCCGATTTATTTATATGCTCTGGACACTGTAAATTGTATTCCGTAGTTTGCCTTTATCTATCTATTTACTATTTACTATGCACAACACGCCATACACAAGAGTAACCTTCTCTCGACTGCGTCTCTATCTTCAGAGTCCATTCTATCTCTATTACATCCAACCCTTGGGCCCACGCCAACTACGACGGGTTATAACTTGGTCATCTCTTCCTGCTCCTCCTTCCACGCATCACCGTTCACCGCTCGCCCAGACTTCTGAGCCCCACTGGATTTATCATCGAGGAAGAACTCGTCCTCGGCGAACCGGGCGTAATCCGGTCTGGCAAGACAGTTTAGTGCTACACGTTTGTCTGTGTCGATGTCTTCTATGAGTGCTTCTGTATATTGGGAGAGGGGATAAGAATGAATCAATACAATTAGTTATTGCTACTCACCTCGACTAACATAATCCAATTCCGGTCTTATATACCCCAACACCAACACCTTCATATCGTATCCATAAAAATCATTCTCGAATTCATGTAATAAATGTATTTCAGCTGTCAAGCGTTCGTTTTTGTAAAACGGGTTCCAGCCGAGGGACATTACCATCGGGAGGGTGGAGTGGTCGATGTGATCGTTGGATGAAGGCGGAATAACCTTTGCGAAACCATAAAACACCCCAGTATCAACTTTTCCGCGCATTTCTTGTACACCGGTTCCAATTCCACCGTTATCGTCATCAGGTAGATTCGCAGTGGGACACCCGAGGTCTTTACCGCCTCTTCCGAATCCTTTGCAGACCGGGCCTTGCAAGCGGATCGGGTACGGGGAACCAGGATAAATGGGTGACGAAGGACCGACGAGGAGAGGTCTGGAAATACGATATGATGCTGTGGAGTTTAGAGCTGGGGGATGAGTGGATTGAGATTCGGATTGAGCGACCATGATTACTCCTTTTCCGTTCTGTTTTCCCTTGATGAATGATTCTGAGACTAGTAGATGTACAACACTGTAAAATGATCAAAAAAAACGAAGGTGAAGGTGAAAAAGAACCCCAAGTGAAAGATAATGATAAGGAACGTCGAGGAATGCAAGAGAAGAACTTGTTCCTACGTGTAGTGACATTAAAAAACACCAAATGTTCAATGCATTAATGGGGTAGTGGTAACCTGGGTCGTTGCCATTTTTCGAATTGCGAAGTGCCGATGTGTCGACCCGCCGGGGGTTCGATTCCCTCTTAATGCACTGATGGTGTAGGACGTGCCGAAATTTTTTGAGTGTACTATTGAATACTACATGGTTCAATATGTTCAATATGTAGCCTGCACATACTGCTTGTATGTTCTTGTCTAGTCCATTCATCCACAGCAAAAGTGACTGAAGTTGGTTTGTTATTTTGTGGTGGGCGGGTCACTCATGGAGTCTGCTTATTAAATATTGCAATCTCTCTCTTACCTTCATCGATGGCTGTACCTGATACTACCACCATACCCACTCCCACCTCCTCCACTCACCCATCCACCACGTCCAACCCCCTCCCTGAACGTCGACCCACATTCCCAAACTTTCCACTCTCTACCCACATCACTTTCCTCAGCGGTCTCACAGCCGTCCTCCTCGTTCCCTACCTCTTATTCTCCAGACGAATACGACAAACCACCGACAAAGCCACGCGGGAACTAACATCTCTCCGAAGAGATACCAAATCTATCCACCGCAGAGTCAATGACTTGGAGCTTCTGGTATCGAATGTGCAAGCAGGATCGAACGAGGTGGTGAACGATTTGAGGAAGGAAATTCGTGATGTGCGGAAGGAGTTGAGTAATGTTTGTGGCATTGTAGATGCTGAACGACAGCGTGTGGATGGTCTCATGAGCCAGACAGACCAGATCAACGCAGAGCGTGAAATGGTCTTGAGCTTGAACCAACAAGCTACGAAAGCCACACACGACACAGAACACCTGGTGAACCAATTGAAGATCGAGCTCAACGAAGCCAAACGCGAAGCACACGATGCAAAGCAATTATACACCGCATTGCATGCCAACTTGATCGAGTTGAGGCAAAACTTGGATCAGACTCGGGATATGTTGCAGAAAGCAAACAAACTGAGCAATGACAATTCTGCTACTGCTACTGCTCAATATCAATCCAATTTGCAGTTTCTACTGGAAGAAGCAAAGATCAATCGGTGAGTTACTTATCACGCACTCACACTTTTCCACATCTCAATGTGCTGATTCTATGATAACTCTTCTCTTTCATAACGGATCCCAATACATTACCGATAACCGATAACTTGTAATGCAGCACCCAAGGCAACGCCCTCCGTTCAATAGGTCTCTCTCTAGCCGATATCGCTGCATTCATGCACGAAGTCGAGCTCTCTATTCCGCTGCTTATCCCACCTGAACCTACTCATCGCCCGGGAGCCAGTATCAGCGCGAACAATCAGAAGAGCCCAATTTACGACAACAAATCCCGCGTGGAAAACCTTAGGCTTTCAGCGTTGATGTTGCAGAACTTACCGAGGAGTCAGGATAGGAGTCGGAGTGAGAGATCAAACATAAACACCGGTGTGTATCATATCAGCTCTTCCTTCTTGCTTTATTTACGTATCGCTCTATTGGATTTCCTTAGGTACTGATTAGGCACCGAAGCAATGAAGTTGGTTGGTTGGTGGCAGTCTCGTCGAGACTGGGCGTTGAGCGTTGAGGCCTGATTTAGTGATTTTATGAGGTTGAACGTGGTTGGATGGGATTTTACTCTCAGTCCGTGCTGTATCTCTAGCAGGAAGTCATTATGTACAAACCAGATGGAATTCGGATGTGCTTTAGATGTATGTAATGAGGATGTATGTATGTAGAGATAATGTACAAATGCAGTGAGTTGTTCGATTTAGTGAGAGCCAAAAAATGTGCAAGATATGGAACCTGAGGAAACACACCGTGATACCACTGCAGTATTAGGGTGTTACCCTAATACTGCCTCCTTCCCTTCATTATTCATCGTCAAAATCGTTCTCCGTAAACTCCACACCGCTTAAATCGACTGGCTTCACGGCATGTTCCAAATCCAAATCAATATCCATGGGCGGAGATGAAGTCATGCCTGCAGTTGCCACATCCGAACCAGGTCCCAAAGTTGGGATAGGCGTAGGTATTGAGGTCGAGATGGTCTGCCCCTTCTCCGCTTTCTCTCCATCTCCATCTCCATCTCCAACATCCAGAAACCCTAAACACCCCTTGAGACATCCTCTCCACCTCATAGGGATCTCTCCTAGATTTTCTACACCCGCAATTGTACTCTCCCATGTGAATCGCTCTTCGGTGTGTTGGTAACAGAGGGAGGAGGTAAGGCCATTAGGACCATGATGGCGATGACACGGAGAAGGACAAAACCCTACACCAGTAACCTCGTCTAGATCGGAAATGGAATTGGTATTGGTATCGGTAAGGGAGGAGTGATGATCCCAATCCTGACTCTGACACCGATTCTCATACTCGTCATCACTTGAATACCCCTTCACGCTCCCCGGAACCGCATAATGCAAGCGGCGTTGAACCGAGGGAGGGAGGAAAGATGTGGATTCGGGGGGTAAGTCATATATCAGTTCGATTTTTGGTCGACGGACATGGGGAGAGATGAAGGAAATTGTTGCATCAGGGGTATTTTTGGTCGGTGTTTGATTTGGAGTTGGACTGTTGAAACTTTTTGTTGGAGAAGGGGTGAAAGATGGAAAGGAGGAGTTTGCAGCGGAGAAGGAGGAGAAGGGGTTGTTGGAGTAGTTACTGTTGGAAGTAGTGGTAAAAGCCCTTAAACACAACTCAAACAGTGACGGAACACCGTTCTTGAAGATCAACTTGACCGGGGACATCATCCTAGGCACAGCCTGACCCAACCGAGATTTACTTGTCTTGTTCCTCGTCAACGTTCGCCTGAACGAACGCGTTTCGGATAGAAGCGACGGAGGCGGAGATATAAACGGATTGGGCTGCACAGACAATTTGGATAATGTCATCCCAAGCATCTCAGCTGGGAGATAAGCCAACCTGTTGTTGGCGACGTTGAGTTCTTTTAATGACGCGAGGAAGACGATTTCCGGGGGGAGGAAGGCTAATTTGTTTGAACCTATTATTAGGATGGGTTATTAATGAGTAGATGTAAGAGAAACGTTATTCAAGCACGCACGGAGTGATAAAACAGTCAACCTATCAAGGTGAAATAATTGCGGAGGAAGACGAGTGAGAAGGTTATCAGCCAATAATAGAGTCATTGATTGTCGAGGTACACCTGGTAGTGTGCGTGTGCTTGGTGTCCGACTCATTTCTAGACGATGAGCCTGACTCCGTTTACGGTGATGATGAAATGACAAATCCGAAGTCGAGGTTGATTGTTCTGAATTTGAATTTGAACTTGAGCGGCTTGCAGCTGAACGAGCAATAGTTTCTGGATTAACGAAATTCTGTTCAGAGTATTGGTCGAGGATGACGATATTGTTGAGGTCAGTTATCCCGCGTTCGGGGAGGTAGGAAAGGTTTTGACGTCTGTGCAAAAACGAAAACAGCAACCACAAGATAGGAACTTTTAATGAGTTTGCGACGAGTTTTTGAAAAAAAAGAGAAAAGAATGAAAGCTTCAAACTCACTCGAACGCGATATGCAGACTACAATCCATGTATGCTTTCTCCACAGTGTCTTCAAACAACTTCTCAGGCCCAGGGTCTGACCCAGTCACCGACGGACACAAGTTATTGAACGCGTCAGGATCAAATAAGCTAGGAGAATTGAAATCTATCCCTTCAAACGCCATACTAAAACCCCGGTGCTTTGGTGGCTGCACCAGATCCTCCTCGTATTTATCACGAGAATCCTTGTCCACGTAGCCATACCGAACTTTCTTTGCAGTCAAATTCGTCGGCGAGGAATCAAACACCGAATAATCATCAGGCGAAAGCGACCGTTTCACCATCGTCGTCTTCTTCTCATGCATGCGGAACTGTTTGACCTGTTTGGCTGACCCGGAGAACGGGTGCAGCGGAGGTGAATGCGAGTTTAAAGAAGGGGAGGGAAAGTCGGCGTTTAGGAGGTCTAGACTAGGAAGGTCGCTGGTGCTTCTAGTGGGAGACGAGGCTGGGGAAGAATCCGGGAACGGGCATGGGGAAGAGGGTGGAGAGCTAGAAGGGGAGTAGAAAGTATGTGGGTGATGGGCATACATGAACGAAGAGTGTTTAAAGGGCTAATTATAAATAGAGCTTCAGTGCAAGGGCAAATAAATGGCGTGTAGAATGTGAAAAAGTCGATGCTAGGCTATTAGCATAATTCAAATCCAGTGATCGGGTTGTCAAGAAACCAAAAGGCTGAACTTGAAGTTTCGAAGTCTTATGTAGTATGGCCAAACAGCGCAGGTATAGTAGGGTATAGTAGGGTATAGTGCGTGCTTATTGTGGGAAATCAGTGATTTATTTGTACATGTGTACAAAAGACACCAGGAACTGCTTCTTTTTTTTTTTTTTTACAGTAACTCTTTATTAACCGCAAGCAAGTAAGACTATGGTACTAAGGCGCGGGGAGCCGCGGCGACTCAATGAATACAGTTTGTCGCCTGCCTCCGTTACTTGGTTCTGGGTCGTGGTGATGAGTCTGCAAGTGTAGGTGTAGCTATGGGTCATATTGTAGTGTATTGTGTAGGTGTCGCGGTAGAGTGTGCTGTGCTCGACTGCACATTTGTGCAAATCTTGCAGAATGAGAATAAAAATGAAGTCGCAGTTTGGCTCAGGATCACGTCTCGGCTTCCGAATCGCTGGAGTCAACTATCTCGTCTCTCCAATCTGTTTCCTGAGTTATGTCTTCCTCCATCCCTCGAGACATGGCGTTTAAGTCCTCCCAAATCCCTAGTGGCATGTAGTTGATCTCCGTACGCTTGGACCGCGGTTTGCCTGTCACAGTGAAGGCACCGCTTTCTTTCAGAAACTCAGTCAGGGCTTCGATGCCTTCACTGGTCCCGAGTATGTCTTTCAGGCATATATCCTCTGATGCTTTCCGTAAAATATAGCGGAAGTCTTCATATTGTGGACATGCCCTTAAGATATGTTCTCGAGTCTGCAATTCTTTGCTACATGGGCAGTCAACGTTCTTATTAGGGACAAATTGAGAGTAGTACTCGCCTAGGAATGCATGTCCTGTCCTACATTGCATTAGGCGTCCAAATAATTCTCTTGGTGTTTCTCTGAGTCTGGAAGTAGGCTTCAAAGAAGGCGGTATTTGGTTTGCAATAGCGAAGCGGCCATGTACAGACCTCAGTTCCCACAATTTCTTCCATTCTTTTTCGGCTCGTACCCTGCTCATTCGATAAGCGTTGGATAAGGACCTAGTCCAGGTGGCCTCGCTTATTCTCTCAGTTCCGGCTTTTGCAAAAAAGTCCGCGCGTTCGTTTCCTTGTATTCCTGCATGGCTGGGTACCCATGCAACTTCGACTGTGTGTGCCGGATCGGAATCTAAAAACTTCGTCACTTTGTGGTAGAAATTGGAGCAATATAGCTGGCCTGGTTTCGGTGATGTATCAAAGATGGTATCAATGCTAGATGCATTGTCTGTGAAAAATTGCCAGTGAGTTATTCGGGGGTCTTCAGTCGATAACTCTGTTGCCATTCCCGCCGCATAGCTCAAGGCCACTATTTCTCCATCATATGATTCTGCATGGTTTCCCAGCCCAATGCTACGGCTGAAGATTTCCTGATTTCTCTGGTATGCAACAAGTCCTGCTCCAGCTCTTTTAACCCGATGAACAGGTTTGAGCGAGCCGTCAGTGTATATGCAGATGTTGTGTGTAGAAGACTGAAGAGTACTCAGCTTTTTTTGATGCTCTTCTACACCAGGAACTGCTTCAATTGTCGGTGGCAGATAGACCTTGACAAGCAAGGTGACTATTTAGTTTTATCTCAGTACCAACTGCAGCATTCTACATAAGTAAGCACTTGCTTCACATTTTGATCATTACATTGTTTGGAGCGGGGTCAAGAGAACATTATTGTTATACATAGTACTTAAAAGTAATCAATTCAACAAAAACGACTTGTATACATCCCTGCACGTCCGCGCTCAGAGGTTTTACAAATGTTAGCAATGGGTATAGAAGGCAACGGACTGGTATACCCCTGTGCATCTACTCAGAGGGCGTACATGACATCGGCCAGAGAAAAAGTCCAAGGGTTTCAGGTGCCAGCCTGATTGGTCCAAATACCTTCTCGAAGTCATCAACGTTTGCCCAAGTCCCGAGATCCCAGTCCCGACATGCCTATCGAGTCCAGAGTCCGTAGTCCCGAGTCGCGCTCCACGGAGATCCTGATTATTTAGAGCAGGTCGGTACAGGAGCGCTCCGGAACAATAGGTAATCGACTACAACCACTGGCCTTGGAGATAATTGGGTGAATATTTCACTCATAATTATGGTTGTTGGTTGAGTTAATATTGCAGGCAGTCGCTATGAGACTTACTAGGTGATTTTTGAGTTCAGAACTTGAGACAAGACACTTGGTCAAATTTTTATGATCCGTGGTTTACCAACGCGTCGAGGATTATGGCAAGAACCTTGCCGCAAAAGCTCGAACTCCTTTTCTTCCTATATGCCTACGACAGTTTAGTAAATTGATCGAACCATTCAAAATCCTGCGAAATGGATGGAGCACCGGGGGGTACCCAGCTCTGATTCAGAAGGTACTAGTCTGCGTACGATAATGTAGAAGTCCCACCGGGTTTAACATGTTCAAAGGACAAACTCACACTAGAGCATTCAAGCAAACACAAACATGGAATCGCTGCTGTTCCAGATTTTGACGAAGACAAAGAGAGACCTGTTCGGTAGTGAATATATATTTAGTTCAAACTTTTTCCAGAATAAGGAGACGTTTATTCTCATAGCAAAAGTAGCAAATTCAAACCCAGGGTTCGATTCCATCTATAGAGAAATGAAAGAAACCAAGACTCTCCGAGGGTCTCCAGGAGAAATTTGGGATAGTAGCTGTAGGGCACAGTTCTTCTCCAGTAGAAGTTTGAGAGGATCAAGATCGAGGCTGTGGAAAGGTTGTAAATATCTTCGACAACGATACTTATTACTTAACAAAAATGACCTTGATTTCTATTCTCGCGTCTCGTAGAAAGATCGCAAATCCGAGTTCATGAACTTCAGAAAGAAATGACGGGGACGGGATGGTATTTTTCCCACAGCCGTCGCACACGAAACGTAAGTAACATACGACCGCCTCGTTGTGCGATTTGCCATTGCGAGGACTTGAGCACAACTCTCTAATGTTTTCCTGACTTTATTCTTATCCATTCTTTAATCCTACCTCTCAATCTCGACGTCGAAATTGTAAAGCTCTTCGCAAGATCTCCACTGCGGCTCAACTTCCCAGACCATGTTTGAAGATACTACCATTCCCGGAGACGGTTCGTCTGGAACGACCGCCTCTCAAGCTGATTCGATCCATATCAACTCAATTAATGCTGTAAACTTACAACCTGAACTTCCGGAAGTTCCTACCAAAGCAAGGGCAGGAGGGGACGAAGAAGCGCTTGAATCTCATCAAGTTATCGAGTTACAGATTTTTAGTGAGAGGAAGGCATGGATTGAGGAAAAGATTAAGGTACGCAAGAGGGAGGATCTGCTATCTTATGCAAGCGCAGTCAATCTCACCGATAGTCAGCTTCTCGAACAAATGCCACCAATCGAAGTTTTTGTTGGATTGGATGCCGTTCAAGCCTCTGCAGAGGAAGTTCCTGGCCTCCCCACACGCGAGGAGCTAAAAAAATGGCTTGCGGAGCACGATACGCTTGAGAAAGAGACCGAAATATTTGATACAGGTGAACTCAAGAAGCTACGGAATTTCACGAGAGGTGCGCCCTCAATTTCTCTCAACATTGTCATGATACTTAATAACAGAAAACAGCCGCCACGCAAAGAAATCTGTCTCCTGAAGATACTGATTTGATTGAGCTGACGCTAACGACCATTTATGCCCTCGACAAATTGTTACATCTCTTACGGGACCGCTCGGAAACGTTGGATTTATTAGGAGTGCGGCTCTCATGGGAAGAGAATCGGATATCCAGCTGGGTTGAACGTCGGAAAATCATTGCAGATCTACAGGCATTCCTAGAATCCCGCGCGCAATGGTCTGCCTTAGTCTACGACAACCCACCCAAAACTGATCCTACTCTTGAGGATCACCGGCGAGGCTCTGTAAGCTCTTTAGCGTCAGTTGCTTCTGACACATCAATCAACTCTCCTGCCTTCTCTCGGAGTACACGCTTCAGACTCGCGGAATTACTTTCTCGGGACGCTGCTACGTTGTCTGCCCGTGTATCGTCACTGCGCCACGGGAGCGTAGCAGCTTCCGGCAAATTCCTCGATAAGTTGATCGACAACAGTCGAAAGCCAGTACCCGAAGTTCTGTTGGATGAACAAGACAGAATCGACGAGAAATGTGTAAATGATATGGAAAACATAGGCAAGTTTGTGTTGAATGTCGTAATGCAATGGAGAAAGTACGGATGTCCGTTTCTTGATTTCTAGTTCGAGGACTAATGACAACATAGAGCTGATGAGATTTATGTTGAAACCATGAAGGATCAATTCGCTGCCCAGACACTTCTAGAAGACATTGAGAGTGCGATGATGCAGCAACCAACTGCTCGCCAGAGCGCTGCATTCATGAGTCGCTCAGACGCATTGCTGAAGCGGCTACTGCTTCGAGGAAACCCTGCATCATCCACGAGTACCTTTCCGCGTCCTTCCCATCCCTTGTTTACCCAACAATCCGAATTCAATGAGTCCCTAGCACGAACGCTCTCGTCCGAGATCAAGAGTACTACCGAACTTTTGCGGAACGTGGAATCCCTTACCAAAATGTACCGGGCCTCATATGATGCTGTCAGTCGCGTGGAAACGTTGAATGAGGCCGTCTCATCACTGATATTCACTTTCCAATCCATCATTGATCGTTTGGAAAATGGGATAGCGTCGAGCGAAGGCGATGGCACGCCTCCTACTCTCATGTCGAATGAATGTTTGGATCCGAGTCGCCATTCCGTCTTCATTGCACTCCTTCCCTCCCTGTTAGACGAACTCGCAAAAACAGACCATTCCGCCTCGGAGTTAGTCCGTCAAGTTCCTGCCGCACTGCTACATCTAGACTTTCCAGGTGTGGATCAGGAATTCAAAACGAATGCATCTACTCAACTTTTACGGCTAAAAACCATTCGCGAGCGAGCGCAGCGTTTGAATGAGGTTACGGTCGGGCGTGTGGGGAGGTTGCGCGAAGCCAGGAGGATTTGGACTACAATGGATGCGACATTGAAGGAAGTGGAAGCTATTCGACGAGAAGCCGTTGATGAGATAGATAGATGTCGATGGCGTCAGGACACTACAACTAACGTCAACGGAGCTCCTCCCACGCCGGAAAGCCCTTCTACCGTCCCTCTTCCATCGGATTCCCTTCAGCAATATACAGAACTGGAACACCAAATGACCCAACTTGGGGCCCGATTGCAAACAGCGGTAGACGATCCGCTCACCTCTCTTTCCACAACACTGGAGTTACCACTCAAAGAACCCCTATCACAGAGCGCTCAAAATCTGAAATCCCATTCCATCCGTGTCCAGCGAATGATAGATTTGCTACGGTCCATACACAAACAGACTACAGTGATGAACGGAATCCGGGAAGAGTTCAATGCTTTACAACTCCGTCTTGATGACATTATGACACGTTACGAATCCAAAACTGAAAACGTCCTTGATGATACACCTATAGACGAGCAAGTGTCGGATACGGATGAATCTCTGAGCAGCGAGTTTGCTGCTACTCGCTCGAACACCATGGTGTTTATTAACAACCTTGCCCAGCGAGTTCCACTTGTTGGCTCATCATCGCAAGTCCCTATCGTTAAGCGCTCTTTTTCTACCATCGATCTCACATCTACAACACGGCCCGAAGGTCTGCTCATTGAGCTTCCCTTTGACCTTCATTCTGTCGATGACTCAGTCCGTGCAGACTGCAATTCATATACCATGCGACTCAATGGTCAAGTTCACGCTCTAGAACAGAAAGTCCACCATTTCCACCTATCGCAAATCGCCAAAGAATTAGATGCCTCCACGTCCGCCTTGCTCAACGAGATTGATCAAGCATCTTCACAATTTACTACTCTTCACGGAACCTTCACCGGTCTTCAAAATGCAATAGATGTTATCAATTCTTTAACGAAAATGACAGCTGATATCGAGCAGTCGTCTTCCACTCATCGAAGCAGGCTTAATCGTTCGTTGACCGCAGTTCGCGAAATACATCGTCGACTCGAATCCGCTCCCGGTATCCTCGATAGCAACGTTCATGATAGGGTGCTTCTTTCCAGAACGAGGGGTATCAGTCAATTGGAAGGTCAAATCACTTCTTGGGAAGCAAATATCGAGTCGCTTCGTGCTCGGGTAGTCGCTGCGCAAGAAGCAGCTGTATATCGAATGCAACGGGAAAAGGAAGAAGAGGAAGCGCGCCTGGCGGCGGAACGGGAGAGAGTAGCCAAGGAGGAAGCTGAACACGCACAAGCGGAAAAGTTCAGACAAGAGGAGGAAGAAAGGAGAAGACTAGAGCAGGCACGTTTGGCTGAAGAAGAAGAGAGAGCTAGATTAGAGATGGAGCAGCAAGAAGAAACGGAAAGAATCAGGTTGAATGAAATTCGGCTTGCAGAAGAGGCGCAGGCGAAAGAGGAGCAGAAAAAACTGGCATTGGAAGAAGCAGAGAAGGCTCGATTAGAGAAGGAGAGAATAGAAATGGTCTCGAAATTGAAAGACACGGAAGGGAAATTGCTTGCTGAACGTAAGCTTCATGCTGAAAAAGAGCGCATGGCGGCGGAGGAGGCTAGAATGGCTCGACTGGAACGTGAAAAATTGGATGAAGAACGGAATCATGCTATCAAGGAGCTTGAAGCAGCGAACATCAGTCTTGAAGAAGGTAAGCAGGCCTGTACAAATTCGTGCATCGGACCAATCTAATCTAGTTTTTCGTGAAGATGTTTTCGGTGTTCGTATTACACCCGCCGATGGTCATTCTTCCATGTCCACAGAAATCAAAGACGTTCTCGCTCTTATGGCTCGCCTCCGAAAGAGGCTTCGATCCATTGGAATCAATGACGCCGCACGACCTCAATCAAGTAATTCTGTTCTTCCCAGAGCAGACAGAGCTCGTGCCATGCGGCAAGAACTTATGGCACTCAAGCAAGAGGTTGGGTCGCTCCCCGACAATGTGGAAGTTGTGTCTGTCAACGTTCAACTCAAGTCGCTGAGAAATGATATAGAAACATCTTTTACGTTACTGGATCGCATCGATTGTCTAGCAGCCTTATCTGAAGCTTTATGCACTTGTGACGACGCATTAAGCGATCTTCTAGAACACATCGACAGTTTCCCTGCAACACCGCTGGGTCCACTATCATCGTCTTATACAAATCTGTCCAGTTTGATTCCCGAGGAGCAGCTCAGCGACAGATTATCTTTCACAAAATCTACTATCGAAGCCGTGACCAACGCGTTCGAGGTTGTGAAGGGGGACCCAAGAGCTATTGTTGAGAACGAACGTGTTCTTCAGACTTGGAGTGAATTAGAGGAAATGGGTAATGATAGGGTCCATGGTACGAAATCCAGACCCAGCAGTGTAATGAGCACCCAAAGTTCCGGACATGATAGTCGTGTCTCTTTAAACAAATCTCAGCTCCGTTTCCAGCCTGGTCCAAGCACAAGTGCAAAAGCGCGAAAATCCGGTAGCTACGCGACCCTATCTGTGTCTTCTTCTACACCTCGCGGTAGACTTAATGTCCCTTCCCCGACTCCAAGCCAGTCGCGAAGGGCGTTCTCAGGTTCCGATGAACCCGGAACTCGCTCGAACAGTCGTATGTCCACTCGATCATCCCAACAACGAACGATATCTGGAGGATCGTTGTATGGAACTACGTACGCGTCTCGTCAACGAACAACGAGTTTAACTGGTGCTGCAGCTACTCCACCGCCAAAACGAAACTTTTCAGGTGGACATACCCGCTCACAAACCGCCACTGCGTCTCAAAAGAAACGCGATCCTTCACCCAGTCTTTCTGACGCCTCTCTGTCATTCAATGGCCGCTCCTCAACATGGTCAAAGGCGCCGCGTATCTCTTTTTCCGGAGTACCTCGTGTGTCTACACCACAAAAACGACCTTCTGCGCCACGGAAAGCTTACGTCGCGAATCCCAAAAGTAAATTAGACGTAGCTGTTGGGGACGTCGTTAACAGTCTTCCTATCGGCATTAATATTGAAGGGGTTTTTGGTAGTTGGAAAGATCAGAGTGGTAAATACTGGATAGGAGATCAAGAACCGAAGCTTTGCTTCTGCAGAATATTGCGATCCCAGACGGTTATGGTTCGCGTAGGCGGAGGCTGGTCGGAATTATCAAAGTATGTCTTCGGCCGTCGTACTCTGACTTCACTTTCACTCATATCATGATTTGCAGATTCATTCGTGATCATTTCGCTGATAGCTTCAGGTTACTTGCCCCCCCAGATTCCCCTGGTATGCATACCTCCGGAGAAGAACGGTGGATCAGCTCTGCCACTCTTCTGGAGGAACGCGAACAGAATACCCCACCTGGACCACCTAGAACGCCGGAACCAAGAGGCCCCCTGTTGCCCAGTTTCTCGCTATCGACTCCTTCCGGACATAGTCCTCAATCGATGATGTCCACGCCCTCTACAAGAGGATCACCTTTGACACCGTTACAATTCATGCGCCGTGCGGAGCCTGAGGCTCCTTTCTTTGCCCGACCAGAAACACCAACGAAATCCCCGTCCCGTCCTCGTACGATTCCTACAACACCTGCTAGACAGTCTGTATGGAGGCCGTAGATATAATTATTAAGCACGGATTTTCGGTTCATTGCTATTCTGTCATACATACATAAGTGGACTGTGCTGGGTTTACTGTAATATTATAATGTCACCTTGCTTGCAATGGTCATTGAACATCCATAACCTCAAGCGCCCGTGCAAAATTTCCTTTCAAAGTTATCTTTGTCCGGTCCGACGCATCGCTTTTGCCCTATAAGGCAATCATGTGACCCTTTTGTACCTTCATGCAGCCCCTGATTTACTTTCCCTTGCCCCAACCCTGTGCTCACCTATACTATGTAAACAGCCTCCCTTAGTATCACTTCGCTTCATTCCTATCCTTTCCCGTTACACTCAATTGTTCCCTTCTTTCAAATGGTTGGTCTTTCCTTTGTATGTATTGTAGTTTTATAAATTGACCCCACCTCTTAGTGGAAATTTACTTTTCTTTCAAAGTCCCCTGTGCTGCAATCTCTGTTTGATGTCCACTGAAATAACCATCTGTTTCTTATCTTTTTTTCACCACTTTCTGTAGGGAATCATGAAAAGGTTATGTCCACAACTTGCAACCAAAATTCATGATTTTCTTGCCGAAGTGGGAAGATCGTACTGTGCTACGGTGTCAAGTCCATGCCTCGGGGCTCCATTCCGCCGCTCGGTGTTCTGAAGATCTACCTTTATTGTAATCTCATTCTTATTATTCTTTCTTGCTACACATACCCTTTCATTCTAGTCCCTCCTTATTGTCTTTTACTCTACCCTGCAGGTACTACTCGTATAGCTCCTAGTAGTTGGTCTAGTGCTCTGCACCGATGCACCGATCCGTAGATATAAATACTGCCTGTACGCTACTGTAGTTCCTCAGTTTAATTATCGACTTAGATTCCCTCCTTAACTCTGTGCTCTTCTAAGTCTTCAGGCTCATCGCCTTGAAATACTTTCTACTATAACCTTAGGACTTAGATGTTCTTTGGTTTGCTCCTCATCACCGGCGTTACCGCCACTCCGACTTGGCTACTACTAGCTCCTCCCTTCTATACTCTCAATCTCCGGGGACTAACGGCGTAACGGCGGTGTTGTTAATAACTTCACTACTGTCCCACTCGACCTCCCACTCTTAGACACCTTGTGGCCTCTGGCATGGTTACACAGTGTATATGGTCTTAACATACGGTTATGGTGAGTGCACATCACAAACACATAGTGAAGACCAATCATCTTGTGTTTTTCCCACACTAAACAGCTGAATGCTGGGAAGAAAAAAAGACCTCGATAGTCGAAGAAAAATTATCACGTACCGAGCGAAAACAGTGCAAACGAAAGTTCTATCAAGAAAGCAAGCATGACGTTGCAACCAGAGATGGACAAGCAAGACCTCTCCGCATTGACAAATCAAAAACAATGAGCACTGTCGACCAAAGGCTTTGACGGCCCTGTGAATGGTGCATTGCAGACGGAGTGGACTGTTGGTGAGGACCGAGGCTCAGAAGATCAACAAGGTCTGGCTGGAAGCGAGGACACTAAGGTGAGGAGGGCTACACCCAAGACAAAGACAATGGGAAAAGGCTTGGTGAAGGACGGTAGTCACGAATGAGACACAGGCCCAAGTGTTAAAGATGGCAGAAGGGATGGCGAGAGCTTCAAAGGGTCCACTGACACTGCTGGGACTGTGGTGGAGTTGCCGAAAAAGACAAAGAAAAAGGCTGGGGTGCTGTAAGACCTGGGTCAAAATGGGTCTTAGGGTAGGTTTGGTATATGAAGTTTTATGTTGTAGCGTGCTAGGAGCAGGCTGGAGCTCGAAGGGAGCTACGAGAACCGCAACCGAGGACGGGAATGACCTAGTAGTGTCTGGAACGACGAGATGATGACCCTTGAGGGGGTCCCTAAGGCGTAGGGAGGTTAAGGAAGAGTGCGGGACCGTACAGTATTGCGTAGTAGGAGTTGTACTCGCTAGAACGTCAATATAGGATCGAGTAGGCCGTATATGCAACTGGGTCTCGAGGGTGTAAGCTCCCGAGAAGGGATATGTCAGGAAGGGTAGGTCCCTGGGGGCTGAGCTTGAAGTGAAAGCGTATATTCAATCGTATAGATGATCAGAGAGACAATAGACAGAAGTAGAGAGAAACAGAGGTAGAGAAACAGAGAGTAAAGAGAAATCCGTATGGTTAGCAGGTACAAAGGGACAGGGACTGGACCTATGCAAAAGGGTGTGTGTTCAAAATATACCAAGCTGGGGCTTCGGGACGTATCAGAGCTACTTAAATAGGTACAGGAAGTGATCAAGGGAACATCAGGGGCCATGAGGCGTGTAATCGAGATTAGTATCTTAATGGGGTAGGTGTAGGAGGGCTTCGACGCATGTCGGGGGAGGTTTAGGAGCTGTCTTGGATAGGTACAGGCGTGGATCTGGGGAGGTACGGGCGTGGATCGGTACTGAGGGGTGAGAGTGTTTGGCTGATACTGGGGCTGTCCTGGTCGTCACCATTAAGAGGGCTGTGGATAATGGTCGAGGCATGACATTACCCCCCTCTTAGTCCTCCGCGCCCTCGAGGAGGACCTGTCGCGTACCCGTGGGAAATCACCTGATGAGCACGTGGTGTTTTAGAAGCTTTTTTTCGTTGAAGTCCTTCCTTTTTTTTCACTACTCTTTCTCGTCTACAACTTCGTGTTCCACGAGTAAAACTTGTGTCAACATGTCTTCTTCGCCCTCAAAAGCTCCCTCTGCCGCTGGTCCTTCTCGGTTATCCCTACCTCGCTCGTCTTCCGAGGGGGAGGTTGAACAAGACCAACTGGCATTTACGATCGAGTCGCCCTCAATCCCCCAACTCCAGTTGTTCGAGAACGTCTTCAATACCGGAAAGTCGCTGGCGGCCTACTGTCGGGATGACCCCCTGTGGTCTACCTTGGCGGCTGTGGCCCTGCCCTGCTCCAATTGCACCAAGCATCCTGAAACCTGCAAGGTTCCTGAAGGTTCCCCTCGGTGTGCATTCTGCACTGGTAAGAAAACTTGCAGCCTAGGCAAGCTCCTTCGGCACCGTTATTTTGCTCGTCGTTGCAATCAAGATTTGGCCTACAGCCGACGATTTTTGGAGATGCATGGTACTCCGGCGCAAAGGGTGTCCTGGACCATTCCGGGAGCCATTTGGCGTAGGTATGATGAGGTGCTGCATTCGAGCACGTCCGCCACGAAAGTCCTAGTGGAGCTGAACATGCTCGATGAGCAGGACAGTCGAGCGATAGATAGGTCCGAACTCAGGCGCTTCCAAGAAGCTCAGGAGCAGGAGACTTTGTTAGCTGCCAAGAGGAAGCATGTCAACGACCCTCCTTCGTCAAAAGTTCGTCCCAAGAAAAGGCGGTTAGCGAAAGTTGTTGGGGAGCGCCAAGTGGAGGAGCCTGTAGTTGAGGAGGTTCCCCGACTGATCCGCCTGGTCATCCCGCCCTCGCGCCTCGCGCCTTCTGATCCAGGTTCAGCTCCGTCGGCCTCCCAGCATCCGTCTGTGGCCCTTCCCTTGGTCTCCCCTCATGCGACTGGGCGGCTTGGTTCGGTTCAGGACCCTCCTCCCTTGGCTCGATTAGCCGACCTTGTGGATCAGCGAACCGGTTCCCAAGCGGAGGTGTCTACCCGTTCCTTGGGACCGGGTTTTTCCAGTATAAAGGCCTCCCGCGAGGACCCAGCTGTTCCCAAAATGTCTCCCGTCGTTCGTCCTCCACTTATTCCTCGCATCCTCTCTCAGCATCCCTATCGTGTGGAAAATGAACGTCTTGCTGCTCGTGTTCGTCTGCTGGAGTCCCAGCTGGCTTCTTCCAGACAGGAGAACGCCACTCTTACCTCCGCTCTTCGTGACACTTCCGTTTCCTTGGAAGCTCGTCAGGGCGAGTTAGATCAGCTCCGGGAGTCCGTGTCTTCTGCAGCTCAGCAGCAGGAGCTACACGATCGTCTCCTGGATCAGGTTGAGACGTTGAAGCGTGCCTTGCCTGGACCTCCTAACGAAGTATGTCATCACCTTTTTCCTTAGTGATCAATTGCTCATTTCTCTCCCAGTCTTTAGTAGATAGGTTTCGGGCACTAGAGGAGGATCTTCGTCTTGCTCGCGAGAGTCGGGCCAAGTATTTGTCCCGTTTCGAATCTTCGAACAGGCGCAACGAGGAGCTTGAAACGTCCTTAGTTCAGCAACAATCCTTGGTGGACGAGTCGAATGCTCTGGCTGTTCGGCAGCGGAAGAAAATCGAAGCCCTGCAAGAGGAGGTCCACCGCTTCCGGGAGCGTGCTCTCTTCGCAGAGAAGATGATACGCGAATATCCCGAAGAGGGATCTTATTCTGTCTCCCTCCCTCCTTTGTCGGAGGTGCACGGGGAGTTGAACGAAGCCTTGGCTTCCCTTCGTCGTGTCGCCACCTTCGCCCACTGACTCTTCCGCTGTGATCCCGCTTCCGTCCTCCACCAGCACAATCGATACGTGGGTGTGATTATTGATGCGGTGATCTCGTTCCTTCGACGTGGTTTGGATGCCTCGGACGAGGACGTGCTCGCCCTTAATCTCCAGCTTGCACTCCAGTACATGGAAGCTGCCCATTTCATTCACGCCGAGCTCCACCTTCGATCTCTCAGTAGCATCCAATGGTTCTTTGCTAATGCTGCTGAGAGGGAGGAGGGTATCTATCGTCTCGTTCTCGCCCATTCTCGTTTCTCGGACGACGCCCCCTTTCTCAACGTTGCACAGCATGCCGGCTTTATTGCTCCCTTCAGCGACTCTCTCGAACCCCCTCTGCATCGCCGCTGTGAGGCCTGGCACAAAAGGCCTGCTCTTGTCCTATCTGGACTGGGCCTAAGCAAGCAGGACAGCTGCCTAGGCCATACAAGGGGAGGTGGGATAAGTGCTGCTACTGGTGTAGGGAGCCTGACCAGTGGTGGTTGCGGAGCTTGGGTGGACCTAGCCAAAGGTCCTGGAGTGGGGGAAGGAGGTGTAGTTGGTGAGGATGGAGGTGGTTGGGAGTGTGGAGCCTCGACGTAGACTGTAAGTCGTAGGAGAGGCTCAGGAAGTTGAGAGAGGTGTTCAGAGAGGTGAGACAGAGAAGAGAAACAGAGTTGAGTAAAACAGAGGTGAAGGAAACAGAGTTGAGGGAAACAGATAAAGAGGAAATGTATGAC